ACCAGTCATGAGCATCTAAACATCCGTCTAAGAGTATGAAAAAGGACTACACAGTTTATTACAGAATCTAGTACAAGGGAAAGTAAAGATAGAAGGGAGAACCATTGGGTTGCGAACGCTGAACAGCTACCTAGTGAACTCCGAACAGCCTGCTGGAAGCAATCAGCCTTCGCTAGCGTGACCCGAGGCTCCTGAATCTGCACATAGAGTGCAGGGAGTAATGTGAGTACGCCAACTCAGTAAGTAATAAAAGTAAAGGAAGCGCCCCTACCGAACCTAAGGATGAAACTTGAGATTTATTCTTCTCAAAACAAAAGCAGTACCGAAGATAGTAAGAAATCCGGACAAAACCTTCCTATTTTTGGGGAAGAAGAAAGTACTGGATTAAGTAGGGAGCGATAAGAAAACACGTAAATCACAACAAAATGCTATAAAGAGGCAGTATAAAACCAATACAATGCAATAAAACAGTGAAAACTCGTAAAATACATTAGTTCCGTGAAAACCTCTTTAAAACATCTTTTAATAATTCAATAGAGTGAATGAAAACAGGGAGAAAATATAGATACATAAATCAACCCCTCAGGCAAAATACCAACAGAATCAGCCCCTCGGGCAATAACATGGAATAACATCAGCCCCTCGGGCTATATCACATCACAGATTGGGTACCCGCACTCACTGGGAGTGTATAAACTCTAGGAGGGGCCTCTTACGGACCAAGCGCAATAACAAGCCATCTCGTGGCATAATCAAACAGGTTCTCGACCTCATATCAAGCCACCTCATGGCATACAACTCAGGCCCTCGGCCTAAAAAGCATTAATCAGCACAATACCGCTGCGGCGTGCAGCCCGATCCTATAATAATCTCACAACACAGGCCCTCGGCCCTACTCAGTTAGAAATCTCTAAAAGCCACTTGGGCACAGTAAAATATGATGCTTAGCCAAAAATATCATTTAAGATGTCAAAACAGAGTAAACATGACTGAGTTACAAAAACAGTAGAATATAGCATGACTGAGTACAAGTATAAAGTCAAAACAGTGAGGAATAGTAGTAAAAATCCCCTAAGGGTCCAAAACAGTTGGCACGGGGCCCAAATATGGCATTCAACCCAAAATATGATGATAACAAACAGTTTTCAATCAAATACGTAGTTAAATAGTCATACGGGATGGACTAAGTTGCAATCCCCAATGGTGCAAGACCCCACGCTCATCATCTAGCGTTTGCATCACCTCAAAATAGCATAACGATGTGAAATTCGGGGTTTCATACCCTCAGGATAGCATTTACAATCATTACTTACCTCTATCCGGTCCAAACTCTAGCCCGCGATGCCTTTGCCTCTCGAATCGGCCTCCGAATGCTCCAAATCTAACCAAACTTAGTACATAACCATTAAAATATGCTAAGGGAACAAAGCCCACTCTAAAGTAATCAAATTACAACCCAAATCCTGAAATTAACCAAACCCGACCCCCGGGCCCACATCTCAGAATCCGATAAAATTTACATCAATAAACTCCTTATCCTCCCACTAGTTCACCCATATCAAAAAGTACCAAAATCCAACCACAAATGACCTCTTAAACCCTTACTCAAAGGATTCCAATCTCAAGCCCTAGTTTCTTCAATGTTTACCCACCAATTTTCATAAATCTCAAGCCTAATCAATGAAATAACACAATAGGAACGAGTTTTATGTTCAAAAATCTTACCTCAATTAAGTTCCCTTGGATTCCCTCTTCAAAATCCCCCCAAAAGCTCCAAAATCAATTTAAAAATGGTGAAGAAAGCTTGAAATTCGCAAAGGATGAAATATATACTTTCTGACCCAGGCTTTTCGCACCTGCGGTCCCTACCCCGCATCTACGGTTCCGCTTCTACGATCGAACTCATCGCATCTGCGGTTTTCACTTAAAAGTCCAATACCGCACCTGCGATCGAACACCCGCACATGCAATACCGCAGGTGCGCTCAAATAGCCACTTTTACTGTTCTAACTCCTATGGCAATTTCCGCATCTGCGACCCACTGGACTCTTCTGCGAGACCGCACCTGCGGTCCCCTAGCCGCAGGTGCGTTTATGACAGCAAACTCAGCTTCAGCTGCAATTTTCTAACTCCTAACTTTCCGTCAACCATCCGAAATCACCCCGAGGCCCGCGAGACCTCAACCAAAAGCACAAACAAGTCATATAACACTATCCAAACTTATACCAATCTTAAAAACACCTCAAACAACATGGAATCAACCAAAACACATCGGATTCAAGTCTAAGGTTCCAAAAAATCTTCCGAATTCCGCTTTTGATCAAAAAGTCTATCAATCCACGTTCGAATGACCTGGAATTTTGCACACTCATCCCAAATAACACAACGGACCTACTGCAACTCCCGAAATTCCATTCCGACCCCTATATCAATATCTCACTTATCAACCGGAAAACGTCAAAATTCCAATTTTGCCAATTCAAGCCTAAACCTACTACGGACCTCCAAAATATGTTCCAATCACACTTTTAAGTCCCAAATCATCTCCCGAAGCTATCCGAACCATCGGAATTCATATCCGAGCCCTTTTCCACATAAGTCAACATCCAGTTGACTTTTCCAACTTAAGTTTACTCAAAAGAGACTAAGTGTCTCAAGCCTCACCAAAACCTTTCCGAACCTGAGCCAACCAACTCGATGACATATAGTACCGCTGAACAAGGCAATAAGAAGTAGAAATGGGGGAAAACGGAGCGGTAACTCATGAAACGACTGACCGGGTCGTTACATCCTCCCCCTCTTAAACAAATGTTCGTCCTTGAATGGGTTAAGAAACATACATGAAGATTCAAACGGGTGAGTATATCTGCTCTACATCTCCCACTCGGTCTCCCAGTTGGCCTCCTCTACAGGCCGACCTCTCCACTGCACTTTCACTGAAGCTATATCCTTTTACCTCAGCTTTCGAACCTGACGCTCCAAAATAGCCACTGGCTCCACATCATAAGTAAATCACTATCTAACTGAACTGTGCTAAAATCCAAAACATAAGACGGATTGCCAATATACTTTCGGAGCATAGAAACATGAAATACCGGATGCACACTCGACAAGATGGGTGGCAAAGCAAGCTCATAAGCCACCTCCCCAATCCTCCGAAGCACCTCAAAAGGCCCAATAAACTGAGGAATCAATTTACCCTTCTTTCCAAATCTCATAACACCCTTCATGGGTGAAACCTTCAATAGAACCTTCTCACCAACCATGTAGGACACATCTCGAACCTTCTTGTCAGCATAACTCTTTTGTCTTGACTGCGTTGTACGAAACCTCTCTTGAATCACCTTCACCTTGTCTAAAGCATCCTGCACCAAGTCTGTACCCAATAGTCTAGCCTCACCCGGCTCAAACCAACCAACTGGAGATCTACACCGCCTACCATACAAAGCCTCATATGGAGCTATCTGAATACTCGACTAGTAACTGTTGTTATAAGAAAACTTTGCGAGCGGTAGAAACTGATCCCATGACCCTACAAAATCAATAACAAAAGCGCTCAACATGTTATCCAATATCTGAAAAGTGCGCTCAGACTACCCATCCGTATGAGGGTGAAAAGTTATGCTCAACTCAATTGAGTACCCAACTCTCGCTGCACAGACCTCCAAAACTGTGAAGTAAAATGGGTGCCCCTATTTGAAATGATGGAAAGTGGGACACCATGCAAATGAACAATCTCTCGGATATAGATCTCTGCCAACCGCTCTGAAGAATAGGTAGTGCCCACGGGAATAAAGTGGATGGACTTGGTCAGTCGATCCACAATTACCCAAATACATTGAACTTCTTCAAAGTCCGTAGGAGCCCAACTATAAAAGTCCATGGTGATCCGCTCCCACTTTCACTCTGGGATATCCATCTGCTGAAGCAAGCCACCCGGTCTCTGATGCTCATATTTCACCTGATGACAATTGAGACACCAAGCTACAAATCCCACAATGTCTTTCTTCATTCTCCTCCACCAATAATGCTGTCTCAGATCCTGATACATCTTTGCGGCACCCGGATGAATGGAATACCGTGAGCTATGGGCCTCTTCCAGAACCAACTCCTGAAGCCAGTCTACATTGGGCACACATATCCGGCCATGCATCCTCAACACCCCATCATCACCAATGGTCAAATCTCTGGCATCATCGTGCTGAACTCTGTCCTTAAGGACAACCAAATGAGGATTATCATACTGGCGCTCTCTGATGCGATCAAATAAGAAGGATCGAGAATCACACAAGCCAATACCCGATTGGGCTCCGAAATATCCAACCTCACAAACCGATTGGCCAAGGCCTAAACATCAACTGTAAAAAGTCTCTCCCCAACTAGAATATATGCCAAACTCCCCATACTCACCGCCTTCCGGCTCAAAGCATCGGCCACCATATTGGCCTTCCCCGGATGGTACAAAATAATAATATCATATTCCTTTAGTAACTCCAATCATCTCCGCTGCCTCAAATTGAGATCCTTCTGCTTGAACAAGTGCTGGAGGCTATGATGATCAATAAACACCTCACAAGTCACACCATACAAATAATGCGTCCAAATCTTCAATGCGTGAACAATGGCAGCCAACTCCAAATCATGTATAGGGTAGTTCTTCTCATGGGGCTTCAACTAGCGAGAAACATATGCAATAACTCTACCTTCCTGCATCAACACACACCCAATACCAACTCTCGAAGCATCACAATACACGGTATATGAACCTGAAGCTGATGGCAAAACTAACACTGGAGCTGTGGTCAAGGCAGTCTTGAGCTTCTGAAAGCTCTCCTCACACTCATCCGACCACCTGAATAGAGCACCCTTTTGAGCCAACTTGGTCAAGGGCGATGCGATAGATGAAAATCCCTAAATAAACTAACGGTAATAACCCGCCAAACCAAGAAAGCTGTGAATCTTTGTGGCTGAGGATGGTCTGGGCCAACTCTGAACTGCCTTTATCTTCTCCGGATGAATACCCTCACTGGACTCACGTGCCCCAGGAAAGCCACTGAACTGAGCCAAAACTCACACTTGGAGAACTTCGCATAAAGTTTCTCCTCCCTCAATCTCTGCAAAACAACTCTCAAATGCTCCGCGTGCTCCTCCTGACTACGCGAATATACCAGGATATCATCAATGAAAACTATGACAAACGAGTCAAGATAAGGCCAAAACACGCTATTCATCAAATGCATGAACGCTGCTGGGGCATTGGTCAGCCTAAAAGACATCACCAAGAACTCATAATGACCATATCGGATCCTGAAAGTTGTCTTAAGAATATCCGAGTCCCTGATCTTTAGCTGGTGATAACCTAAATGGAGATTGATCTTGGAGAACACTCTCGCTCCCAGAAGCCGGTCAAACAAATCATCGATACGAGGCAAAGGATACTTGTTCTTGACTGTTACTTTGTTCAACTGCCTGTAATCAATGCACATACTCATCGTGCTATCCTTATTCTTCAAAAATAGAACAGGCACACCCCAAGGCGACACACTAGGCCGAATAAACCCCTTATCAAGGAGTTCCTAAAGCTGCTCCTTTAACTCCACTAGTGCCATACGATACAGTGGAATAGAAATGGGCTGAGTGCCCAGCACTAGATCAATACCAAAATCAATATCCCTATCCGGTGGCATGCCCGACAGGTCTGCAGGAAACACATCGGGAAAATCCCTTACCATAGGAACAAAATCAATATTGGGAGTCTCTGCACCGACATCCCTCACAAAGGCTAAGTAGGAAAGACAACCCTTCCCAACCATACGCTAGGCCTTCAAGAATGAAATCACCCTACTAGGAACATAATCGGTCGAACCTCGCCACTCAATCCGTGGCACACCCGACATAGCCAAAGTAACTGTCTTAGCATGATAGTCCAAAATAGCACGACATAGAGATAGCCAATCCATGCCCAATATCGCATCAAAGTCTACCATACATAACAACAAAAGATCCACTCGGGTCTCCAGACCCCCAATAGTCACCACACATGACCGATACATATGGTCTACAATAACGATATCGCCTACCGGAGTAGATACATGAACCGATGAAACAAGAGACTCAGGGGGCGTATCCAAATAACGAGCAAAATATCATGACACATAAGAATAAGTGGAACCGAGATCAAATAATACAGAGGCATCTCTGTGGCAGACTGAGACAATACCTGTGATCATAGCATCTAAAGCAATAGCATCGAGTCTAGCTGGGAGTACATAGAAACAGGCCTGACCACCACCTGATCGACCTCCCCCTCTAGGGCGACCCCTAGGTTACTGACCTCCACCCCTATCTGGGTGGGTGGGTGGTGGTGAATTAACTGACACTAAAGCCGATGGCTGACTCCTCTGCTGAGATGAACCCTCAAGATGACGAGGACACTACCTCCACATATGACCCAACTCTCCACACTCATAGCAACTCCCTGGTGCTGGAGACGGGGACTGAAGGGAACCCCTAGCACCAGAATGACTAGTAGATGTACCTGGCATAGAAGAGCACTGAACTGATGGAGCATGGGATGAACTCTGGGCTGGAAGGGCACTGAGTGATGACTGGCCCTGATGAGAATTGTGAGAACCATGACTAGATAATGCCCCACGATAACCTGGGCAAGCTGACTAAGCACGTCTGAATGGACGACCTCTACCATAACTACCATATCCCCGAGGCCTCTTGGCCTCCATCTCATCTCGCTACTAGCGACGAACTGACTCAATCTCGCGAGCAATGTCAACAACCTCCTCAAAAGTAGCACCAGACACCCCCTCCCTGGTCATAAGAATACAAAGCTGATATATGAGGCCATCAACGAACCTCCTAATCCTCTCTCTCTCTGTGGGAACCAACCAAATAGCATAACGAGCTAACTCCGAGAACCTCATCTCATACTGCATCACAGTCATCTCTCCCTAATGCAACCACTCGAACTGCATGCGCAACTCCTCTCTACGAGACCGTGGCTCATACTTCTCCAAAAAGAGAGCGGAGAACTGCTGCCAGGTAAGGGGTGCTGCACCAACAAGCCTACGCCTCTCATAAGCCTCCCACCAAGTGAAAGTGGCTCTAGAAAACTGAAAAGTAGTGAAAGTGACCCCGTTGGTCTCCAGAATACCTGCTGTATGAAGAATCCACTAACACTTGTCCAAGAAACCCTGGGCATCCTCACCCTCTGCACTACTGAAAGTCAGAGGCTAAAGTATACCAAACCTCTCCAACCTACGCTGCTCATCCTCTGGCATAGCAGGAGCTACATAGTTCTAAACAGCTGCAATCGGCTGGGATAGAGGTACCCCCGGTGTTTGAAGTCCCTGCACGACCTGCTCATGTGTGCGAGCGGGGGGAGTTTAAGTGCCTCCCCCGGCCTGAGAAGTAGTTGCGGCTGTAGTAACTAAGACTACCTGAGCTAGGCCAATGCATACTGATACAATCTAAGCCAGGGACTCCTGAAGACCCAGAATCAAAATGGGCACAACTGGTTCCTGAGCTGGTGCTGCTGGAGCATCCGCAACTGGGACCCAATCATGAACTGGGGCGGCTAGTGGATCTACAGATGCTGCCCTAGCTGCTGTGTAGGATACACCCCTGCCCCTACCATGGCCTCGACCGCGTCCTCAACCTCTAGTGGCTCCAATTGGTGGTACTGGTGATCATTCATCCTGACCGGTCACTCGTGTCCTCATCATCTGTAAGAGAATAGAATAACATAAGTTTAGTACTCGGATCAACTGATTCGCACGACAAGAATTTCAAGAATATAAAGTTTTGCTAAAGGTTCTGAAGCCTCCTGGGGATAAATACAGACGTCTCCATACCGATCTGCGAGACTCTACTAAACCTGCTCATGACTCGTAAGAACTATGTAACCTAGGCTTTGATACCAACTTGTCACGACCCTAAATCCGGACCCTGTCATGATGGCGCCTATCGTGAAACAAGGCCAGCCGACACAAACTCCCAATCCTTTTAAACAATTATAATAATTCAATTTAAGTCATTAATAAGTGATAAATCCCAAAATAAAGTGAAATAGAACAAATGCGGAAATAAACACAGCCCGACATCGGGGTGTCATCAACAATGGGCATCTAAACATCCGTCTAAGAGTATGGAAAAGGACTACATAGTCTATTACAGAATCTAGTACAAGGTAAAGTAAATATAGGAGGGAGAAACACTGGGCTGCGAATGCTGAACAGCTACCTAGTGAACTCCGAACAGCCTGCTGGAAGTAATCAGCCTCGCTAGCGTGACCCGAGGCTCCTGAATCTGCACACAGAGTGCAGAGAGTAATGTAAGTACGCCAACTCAGTAAGTAATAAAAGTAAAGGCAACTGAGCGATAAGAAAACATGTAAACCACAACAAAATGATACAAAGAGGCAGTATAAAACCAATAAAATGCAATAAAATAGTGAAAACTCGTAAAACACCTTAGTTCCATGAAAACCTCTTTAAAACATCTTTTAGTAGTTTAAACGAGTGAATGAAAATAGGGAGAAAAGATAGATACATAAATCAGCCCCTCGGGCAAAATACTAACAGAATCAGCCCATTGGGCTATCTCATAATCACTAGTATAAGCCCCTTAGGCAATAACATGGAACAATATCAGCCCCTCGGGCTATATCACATCACAGACTGGGTACCCGTGCTCACTGGGAGTGTACAGACTCCGGGAGGGGCCTCTTATGGCCCAAGCACAATAACAAGCCATCTCGTGGCATCATCAAACAGGCTCTCGGCCTTATATCAAGCCACCTCGTGGCTTACAACCCAGGCCCTCGGCCTAAAAATCATTAATCAACACAATACCATTGCGGTGTGCAGCCCGATCCTATAATAATCTCACAACACGGGCCTTCGACCCTACTCAGTCAGAAATCTCTAAAATCCATTCGGGCACAGTAAAATATGATGCTCAGCCCAAAATATCATTTAAAATGTCAAAACAGAGTAAACATGACTGAGTTATGAAAACAGTAGAATATAACATGACTGAGTACAAGTATAAAGTCAAAACAGTGAAGACTAGTAGTAAAAATCCCCTAAGGGTTCAAAAAACAGTTGGCATGAGGCCTAAATATGACATTCAACCCAAAACATGATGATAGCAAACAATTTTCAATCAAATACGCAGTTAAACAGTCATACGGGATGGACTAAGTCACAATCCCTAACGGTGCACGACCCCACGCTTGTCATCTAGCATGGGCGTCATCTCAAAATAGCACAACGATGTAAAATCTGGGGTTTCATACCCTCAGGACAACATTTACAATCATTACTTACCTCTATCCGGTCCAAACTCTAGCCCGCGATGCCTTTGCCTCTCGAATCGGCCTCCGAATGCTCCAAATCTAACCAAAATCAGTACATAACCATTAAAATATGCTAAGGAAACAAAGCCCACTCGAAAGTAATCAAATTACAACCCAAATCCCGAAATTAACCAAACCCGACCCCCGGGCCCACGTCTCAAAAATCCGATAAAATTTACATCAATAAACTCCTTATCCTCCCATGAGTTCACCCATATCAAAAGTACCAAATTTTAACCACAAATGACCTCTCAAACCCTTACTCAAAGGATTCCAATCTCAAGCCCTAGTTTCTTCAATATTTACCCACCAATTTCCATAAATCTCAAGCCTAATCAATGAAATAACACCATAGGAACGAGTTTTATGTTCAAAAGTCTTACCTCAATGAAGTTCTCTTAGATTCCCTCTTCAAAATCCCCCAAAAAAGCTCCAAAATCAATTTAAAAATAGTGAGGAAAGGCTGAAATTTGCGAAGGATGAAATATATACTTTCTGACCCAGGTTTTTCACACCTGCGGTCCCTACCCCGCATCTGCGGTTCCGCTTTTGCGGTCTAACCCACCGCATCTGTGATTTTCACTTAAAAGTCCAATACCGCACCTGCGATTGAACACCCGCACCTACGATACTGCAGGTGCACTCAAACAGCCGCTTCTGTGGTTCCAGCTCCCATGGACATTTCCGCATCTGTGACCCACTGGACGCTTTTGCGAGCCCGCACCTGCGGTCCTCTAGCCGCAGGTGCGGTTATGACAACAAACTCAGCTTCAACTGCAATTTCCCAACTCCTAACTTTCCGTCAACCATCCGAAATCACCCTGAGGCCCCTAGGACATCAACCAAAAGCAGAAACAAGTCATATACCACTATCTAAGCTTATACCAATCTTCAAAACACCTCAAACAACATCGAATCAACCAAAACACATCAGATTCAAGCCTAAGGTTCCAAAAATCTTCCGAATTCCGCTTTTGATCTAAAAGTCTATCAAACCACGTCCGAATGACTTGGAATTTTGTACACACATCCCAAATGACACAACGGACCTACTACAACTCCCAGAATTCCATTCCGACCCCTATATCAAAATCTTACCTATCAACCGGAAAACGCCAA